GAAGCTTCTCGGATGAGAGGTGAAACGTCTTCAAGCAACTTAAAGAAGTCCAGACGCTTTTCTTTGCAAGCTCCTTTGACTACGATTTCCGATAGTCATCAACATAATTACCCTTTTAAATATCACTGCATGTCAAAGAAACATAAGTGGAATATTTGCGCCATCAGCTCTGGTACAATACGATGGGAATGCCATTTATTTTGCATAAAGCAAGTTTTTGGACAAACTCAAAATATGAGGTAATTAAAACTCTATATTACCAGACAAATTTCCTGGCAGTTCATCAAATATTTCTTCAGATAGTTACTAAACACACAAATGTGAACTCATTGTGCTACTACTACTACTACTCAAGGCACCAAAGTTATTAGGATTCAACTTCTAAGCGTCATGAATGGATGCATCAAATGTCACGGTAGTACATCTGTGATTTGTTGGGAGATTTCAGTCTGGACCACAAGGGGTGCTCCACTGTGCCGTGTTGGAAGCATGTCTGAAAACTAGACCAATGTTGGACTACAAAATGCTCGTGCATGACCCTTAATTAGTTTTATTGTCCAGTACAATATGCAAAAATGCAGTTTGTCTAAATCAGATTTAAACTGGTAACAATCACTCGCATACCATCTATTCTTGTCTTGTAATCTACTTGTTCTCTGACAAGGTACCACAAACGCTTACCTTCGATTTGATTTGTCCCCCTTGTGTAAAGACTATAAAGGTTTCTTCATCCAAACATTTCCAGTGGCCTGTGGCACTCCTTTCATTGGTTCCTTCATTTTCATACGTTCAATTCAGAGTTAGAGCAGAAGAAGAGGTCTTCATAGTCACACTGACTACTGATTCAAAAATATCCAGTAGTTCTGCAATGCAAGTATGGGTCTGCAATGACATTCAATCATCTACCAAACTTATCATTCACTTAAAAAACAAAAAGTCTTGTCTGCAATTTTCCAATTTCTCCAGTGTTTTTGTTCATAACCCTTCTGCTCCAGTGAGGGAAGAAAAAACAAAAAAGCCACACTCCAAAAACATCTTCCGTTCTGCACGGAGTCACTTGTCAGGAAAAACTGACAGTCCTTTGTAACCTTAAATGTCATATATATATATATA